GCCAAACAATCGCCATAAGAGCACTCTCACCAAAAATCTAGCATCTTGAGTGTCTTCTCCACAAATATTAGTAAAAAAGGACTTAAAACAAAAATTTGGATTTGTAACTAGGGAGCTTTGTATTATTGTACCTGATTCATGGCAGTAATCTTAGAACTATAGCTGTGGAAACTCTGTGTACATGTATCTATATGTATGTTACATATGTGTGATATTTTACCTCTGGATGGTATGGTCAAAATTAAGAGCTCTGTTTAATTGGTTTAAAGTAAGTGCTTACATAAATTCTAAATGTAATAGAAATTAACCCAAATGTCTTTCAAGTTAACATGACATAAATTAATCTTTGGTAAATGAAAGCTGGTTTAAGTTTGTTGGTTTGATTGACAATTGTTGGAAACAAATGATTTAGATAGACAAAAATAAGTGAGAGTTTCTGGGTACAATAATTATCTTTTATTGTCTGTATATTTGAAAAAAACAGCTTCCAAATTCCTTTTGGTAACTTAAAACATTAGAGTTTTGCTAAATTAAGTTAATGATAAAAGTTTGTTGAGTATCTGGGTCATTTTCAAATAAGATAAAATACTGAAACATTGCTAAACATATCTAAGTTTATCTACTTTTGGCTTATTACAGAAAAACTAAAAGGTGTTTTTGGTCTATTAGTAAACATGTCTTGTGTTTTATTAAAAGATTATACCATGAAGTAACATATTTTTAAAAATTATAAAAAGGTATTTATAAATTTGCCAAGCAATGAAATGCTAATGTACAAGAAAGTTTATAATTGCTTACTTCTTAGTTTTTACTTAAAAATTAAGATTTCTAAGGGTTTAAAATTCTAATGTGTGATTAAAGCTACTAGAAATTAATAAGGAAAATATGGTTGTATTCAAGAAAAGTAAGATATGCTTTTTAGTAAAGAAGGTATGAAAAATGGAAACATTTTTGTTTGTTTGGTTAAGAAACACAACTTTGTCCTAAAGTACTAGAAGGGGAGAAAGGAAGGCATGGGACACATTCTAAATGTAACAAGTGACAGAAAGTGACAGAAGGTGAAAGTAAAACCCCGAGGAGTTTTATACATGGTCAAGTCGGCTAAAATTAAACTAAATCCAATTAAGTAAATGAATTTTAATGTCAAAAGTAAGCTGGTACAAAATTAAAATTCGGTTTTCTCTTTCTTTTAAAAGGATAATTTTCTTAAACTCTTAGCCTGCTCTTGATAAGGAGATTATTATGTACAAAGGTTTTTCTTTACCTTTGGGTAAGTTTATCTAAAGGACAGAGATCTACCTTTTGTTAAAATAATTTCCTATGTTTGGAAGACTGAGGTCTCTCTATTAAGATTTTTTTTGGACTGTTTGAATGCTCTGTTTGTCCTCGACTGTTTATATTTTTGACAAGCTCCCCAAAATTCATATCTTAAATAAAGTCTTTCTTTTGACTTTTTTTCTTTGAGAATTTTCAAAGAGCCCTGGGACTTCTCAAAGAAATTTGCTCTCTTCCCATAAGGAGGAAGATGCTAAACTTATTAAAGTGTGGTATGTCACAAAATTAACCAAATTTCTTTGTCAATTGCCATTTTGGGGTCTTGTTGTTTACAGACATTTATTGTTTGATGCTTTTGAAAAGTATGTTTCATTGTCAGAGAAGTTTATGGAAAGGACTCTGGCACTTTAGAATACAGATTTCTGATAAACTTGCAGATCATAAAAGTGAACTGGGTAAGAAATTACAGAATTCTACCTGAGAAAATGATGACTTTGTGAAACTGCTAACAAGATTAAGGTCAAGAATTGATTACGCAGGACTGAATGAACTGATGAGGATTATTATAATTTTTATGACTTTTGTTTGAAACATTGCTGATTTTTTTAATGTTTTGTTTTTTCAGATTTAAGGAAAGCTTTTTCTCTTTTCTCCTGAGCTAGCTGTGACTTATGGCAATTTGGTAAATTATACTATTGTAAGTAAAACTGAAACATTTATTTTTTCTCCCTATCTGATCCCTCCAGAATTTGGAAACTCTTAGTGAGTGAGTATTGTTGTTTTCATGGCAATATAGTTATTTGCATAAGTTCAATAAGAATCTGTTCTCCTTATAACAGGACACAATTGGAAACATTGGTTATATTACAAAAGCTCTGACTGGAATGTTACAAGACAGCTTTTGAGAGACAAAAGATTGGACTTTATGGAATAAAGCCACGTGGAAATACTGGCCTGGTACCTTATATACAGCATTCCAAGCAACACTTACCAGGATGAGTAACTTATCTGGCAGGTGCAAGGAACCTCAAAATTTTGGGAACCTCTAAAAGAGAGGAATTCACCCAAATCTGTAGGTACTGCAGGCGAAGTCTGATGACAAAATCCTTGGCTTGGCTTTCCTGGCCTCAAGAGGCCTTTGAAGTTCAATCTGAGATTCCTTATACAGAGTTTCAGCAAAGCAGTTTTAAAAGAGCCTATATGATCAATGGTTATTCTTGCTGTACTTATGTAAATAATTGGGCCAAGTTTATTGAAACTAAACTTATTTTGCAAGCCGGTTAGTTTTAATTTGGCTATCTTTTATAAAATGAGGGTGATTTTAGAGGGAAAAATATATGTTTCAATAAAAACTATAGTACACATCCATGGATATTAGGTTCTAGTTCTGATAATTGTCTTTGAGGTTTCTCTTTCATATCTGTTAACTGGACTGGATCCTGAATTCTGCTAGTCTCCTGAAATATCTGGCTCCAAACTAATGTTTTCAATTTTTCCCATCCTTGTCATTTGGAATCATTGAGAACTGAACCTGCCTTTTTTTTTCCTGAAGGCTTGCAAACTGAAGCTGGTGGACTTGATATAAACATAAGAGAAATTCATGTCTGTTACTGTGTAAGCCACTCAGAGAGGTAGCTAAATACCCGATGACATCATCAGAGACATTTCCAACTGCAAAAGATGCTTTGACTCTGACACCTAGAAATCTTTTGGACTGGCTGCCCCCTGGATACAGAAACTGGTTTATAATTTGCTCCCACCATTAACTTTGTTTTTCTTTTTGTCTTATTAATTACCTGTTTACTTGCTTCCACAATACAGGTCTAACTTTGGGAGCCCACCTGCATCACCCTTTTACTAAGAGACTGGTTCAAGAAGATGGAACAATGGGATATCCCTCAAGATTGAGGGATTCAACAAAAAAGGGGGTGATTGATAGTGGCTCACTACAAGGTTGACATAAGGGAAGCAATATTGTAGAGGGGAAACCATATTGTCACTTGGTATGACTGCTGACTAACTCTGGACTTTATGGCCCCTCCCAGCTGCTATAAGTTGATAGCTTTGTTCTTTTGAGTTCTTTAGGAATGTAATGACCCCCAGGCAGAGAGTCTATGCTGATAGCCATCATCAACGACAACTGAAAGATAGGGTAGAGGGCATTGCTCCAGTCTCTGATGCATATCAAGTAAAACAAAAGACTGCCAGGAACTAAGACCAGATGGGTGTCCCCATCCTGAGACCAGATGCCTCCACCCAGTAATCAGATGGATGTCCCCACCCTGGGGCCAGATGCCTCCCTGATTCGAGACCAGTCCACTATATAACTGGCCTGCAGTCTTTGTTCTGTAAGATGGGTCTTTGAGATGCTAGTCAGCCATCTTCCCCCTTGCTAGCAAGGTGTAATAAATTTCTCTTTCTTTTCCACCATCTTGCCTCTTGATGATTGGCTTTTTCCTGGGGG